GCTTTTATTACATTTAAAAGTTATTTATTTATGTGTGTGTGTGTGTGTGTGTGTGTGTGTGTGTGTATGTGTGTTTATGTGTGAAAGCCTGTGCCACATGGTGCACACATGGAGGCCAAAGGACAACTTTGGGAAGTTGGTTCTCTTCTTTTACTATATGGGTCCCAGGGATAGAACTCAGGTTGTCACACCCCTTACCCACTGAGCCATCTTACTGGCCCTCTGATGTAATTTAGTTGTGATTTTGTTAGCCTTTAGATTCTTGGTCACTCTTTACCTCCAATTTAATCAAAAAAGTTTAATAAGTAAAAGAGAATAATAGTAGAAAAATGCATGCATCTATAATACCTAAACATAAAGAAACCATATTGCATCTGTACTTGTCAAAGCCATCTTGATTTGTCTACATGTGTACTTATATCCTTATTGGTCACATAATCTTCCTTGCATATCATATTTCAAGTTACAAGAAGTACTAAAGGAAGCCAGACTTGCTGAGGCACTCGAAGAAAACCCCTTTCTGGATTTCTCCAGGTGAAAAGAGGTGGCACATGGAAGTGCTGGCTGGGGAACGAAGTGTGAATGTGCCACATCAGAGTCTGTCTGTAAAACTTGGGGTGTCAGTTAGGCGTGGTGGCATGGAGCATGCCTTTAATATCAGAACTTGGGAAGCAGAGATAGGTGGATCACTGTGAGATGTAGGCCAGTCTGGGACAGTCTACTTAGTGAGTTCCAGGCCAACTGGGGCTACATACTGACACCGTTATCTCAAAAACAAAACAAAACATTGAAAACAACAACAACAAAAACTTGGAATGTCCTTGTAAAATTCTCAGGAACGAAGGCTGTGGGACTGCTTGGGTTTTGTGCCTCATATGTCTCAAGAGGCTGAAATAAAGCTGTTAGCAAGGCTTTTTCCCTGGCTCCATTTTCCAATGACTTAGAAAATGTTTACTCAGAAGCTGAACATACTCAAAGCCAGAGCAGCTGGAAAACTAAAGCGACAGCACAATTATTTCACTGCACCGATGAAAATCCAGTTACCATATAAGCCTACACACCAAAGGCTTGCTTTGTAATCAGCCACTAGCTAGCCCTGTTGACAGCCTAGTGGTCTTAGTTCTGTCACACTGCACCTGGATTACAGACAACTTCTAACAGTGTTTCAATTAGTAGATGTAGCTGCTGGAACTCAAACTGAACCAGAGCTGTTTTACCATATAAGCCTACACACCAAAGGCTTGCTTTGTAATCAGCCACTAGCTAGCCCTGTTGACAGCCTAGTGGTCTTAGTTCTGTCACACTGCACCTGGATTACAGACAACTTCTAACAGTGTTTCAATTAGTAGATGTAGCTGCTGGAACTCAAACTGAAACAGAGCTGTTTATATGCTTAATATCAAGTATTAACAACAGAATGTGAGGAGTCTGAGGAACGTGAATTCTCAGTTACATTCCTTACCAGTTTGCTATAATGTGTGTAGAGAAGAAACTGATTTTTTAAAAATTTGCTAGGATTTCTTTTAAAAAAAAT